CATCCAGCGAGCCACGCGGCGCGCAGAACAGCTCATGCAGCACCACCACATCGAAAACTGGGAGACGATTCACAGACAGAGGTCGTGGCGCATGGCATCCAAGGTAGCCAAACACGAGCCCACCAGATGGACGTGGCGTGCACTGCACTGGCAACCAGGAGAGAACTCACGGCAACGTGGCCGGAGACACCACGGCGGCCAGCGCAAGCGCTGGGACGACGACCTCATCAGCTTCTTTCAAGAACACCGACCCGACCTGCACCCAGCGCCCGCACCAACCAACGAGTAGGGCAAGCCGAACGACCTCACTTGGGTTCGCTCAGCTCAAGACACCACCACGTGGTCGACACTCGAACACAAATACATCAGCACGTCGCCGACATTCACAACCAGGACTTCCTCCTCCTCTCCTCCTCCGTCATAACTTTTGTGTGTTGCACAGAATCATTTATTGTGTGTCTCGCAGTTCCTGTGCATGTCTCTATGTTTACAGGAGGCCATGGCCTCACCCACCTGGTCTGAGCAGGCCCGGACAGCTGTCCGATGTGGTGGTTCGTTCGTTCGTTCGTCCCTCCCTCCCTCCCTTCCTCCTTTCCTCCGCCCCCTCCCCACTCTCGTCTCCTCGTTCACCTCCCCTGCTCCTGCTCTTCTGCCTTCCTGCATATCCCTCCTCCTCTGCCCTCCTACTCTCCCTCACCCTCCTGCTCCTTCCCCCCCCATCCTCCCCTCCCTCCTCCGCCTCCCGCTCGGCAGCCCCTCCGGGCGTCGCCCAGAGGTGCCCGGCCGCGTGGGCGAGAGCGTCTGCGGCGAGCGGCAGTGCCAGACCAACCACGTCGCGGAGCGCGCCGTTGCTGCCCTGCTCCCTGCTCCTGCTGGTTCTCGCCTCCTCGTCGCGGCCCTCCTCGTCGTCGCCCTCGCCCTCCGCATCCCCGTCCTGCTCGCCCCTGTCCTCCCTCTTCCTCCGCCTCCTCCTCCTGCGTTCCCTCTTCCCCCTTGCCGTCCTCCTGCTGCTCTCCCGGATCGTTTTCGTTGGCTTCTGCTCTCCCTGATCATCACAGCGTTCCTCCTTCTCCTCCATCTTCTCCGGGACTGCGATGGTGCGCTGCACGATCGGCAGGCCTGCGCTTGTGCCGCTCACGTCGAACGTGTGCGAGTATACTTTTCGGATGTTCTCTCTGGCACTCCGCCGTGGTTCCTGACTAGAACGGCTTTTGCCACATCCGGCTACGGAGCTGAAGTGCTGCTTGTCTTTGGTGATCCTCAGGCCATGCCTCTCCTGATGTCGCCCGTGTTCTGTCATTGGTCGGATCTATGACCCCTCGCGGAGTGCATGGCGTTGCGGGCTTCTCAGCCGTGGCTGTCGGGTCCTTCCGACGCCCGCGCGTCGCCGCCTGCGGGGCGGTACCTCGGTGCTCATCAGTGCGTGCCCTGTGCTGAAACTTCGGTGATCCTTTCTTTCCTCCTGCATGCCTTTCCGGACTGCAGCGGCAGTTATGTCTATTATATCGACTGCCAGTGGGTGTTGGATTCGGGGCACGCCCCAGCATCGACCCACGCTGTCTCTGGTTGGAGCTCCTATTCAGGCATATGAGATCGAACTCATGCGAATGCTGCCGACGTTTCACTTGTTACGATAGCATCTACGTGCGCATGTGAATGCTCACCTCATCGTCTCTCTCTTACCCAGGCCTCCTGGTTGACAATCGGGAATGATCACGCTTACAGTTTTGCGAAGCTTGGTGCTCGTCATCATCCTGTCGATGGAGCGGCGATGGAGCGCTCGAGCAGCTCGCGCATCTCAGGCGAGCAGATCGGCGAAGACATGTTCTTTGTGGCGTTTCGTGCTCTACCGCGTCTTACACCCATCAGAAATCTTAAGAGAGACGCGTACGTCCTCGTGGGATCCACAATATTCTGGACTGGACCCGTGGCGTTTTCATAGGGCTTCTTTTCTTCGTGGAATGTTCGTGCATCTGGACCAAAACTACTTTTAAAGAGAACGCTCGGAGTGAGGTTGATTTTATTTGCGTAAGATATCATTAACTCTGAGCTGGGACGCAATTGGACTCTACACTGCCCGTGTCATCCACGCTTCCCCGTTCCCCTGTGTCTGAATCCTCCTAGACCTACAAGAGTGCTCGAGCTAAACGGTGTTTTGGTGATTTCGTGTACCGTTTTCGTTTTGATTTCTTTTCGCAGCAAAGGAAGAACGAAGGCAGAACAAAAGAAAACGAAAGCACATTGAAAACGGAAGACAGCGTTTATCTGATTAGCCCGAGCTATGATCTATAATGTCTGACGGGGCCCCCTCCCACTCCCCAGACATCCGGCTGCTCCAATTTTTTCCCAACCATCCTGTGGGGTTGGGTCTTCGTTTTGAAGAGAGAGTCCCCGCGTTCCTCCTTCCTCCTTCCTTCTTTCCTTCCCCTCCTCCCCCTCCCTCCGACCTGCGTTTCACCCACCCGGTACAGCGTTTCGTGGCCCCATGGGGTGCTCCACCGAAGCCCCCAGTGGGACCGTCCGCATGCGTCCCGGAAGCCTAATTTGGCATTTTCACTCACCCAGTACAGCGTTTCGTCGCCCCATAGGGAGCTCCACCGAAGGCCCATTGCCACCGTCCGCATTCGTCCCGGAAACCTGATTTGCCATTCTCAGCCACGCACTACAACATTTCGTGGCCCCATAGGGAGCTCCACCGAAGCCCCCAGTGGGACCGCCCGCATGCGTCCCGGAAGCCCAATTTGGCATTTTCACTCACCCAGTACAGCGTTTCGTGACTCCATAGGGAGTTCCACCCAAGCCCCCAGTGGGACCGTCCGCATTCGTCCCGGAAGCCCAATTTGGCATTTGCACCCACCCAGCACGGCGCTTCGTGGCCCCATAGAGATCTCCACCGAAGCTCCCACTTGGACCAGTTGGACCGCCCGCATGCGTCCCACACACCCAACTTGGCATTTTCACCCAGAACAGCGTTTCGTGGCCCCATACGGAGAGCTCCACCGAAGCCCCCAGTGGGACCGCCCGCATGCGTCCCATACACACGCAATTTGGCATTTTCGCCCACACTGTACAGCGTTTCGTCGCCCCACAGGGAGCTCCCCCGACGGCCCCAGTGCTACTGCCCGCATGCGTTCCCCCCCACCCAGTGCAGCGCTTCGTAGCCCCATAATGAGCTTCACCGAAAAAGATATTCACAATTGCGGTACCCACAACTGCACATGGTTGGGTCTATCGCCAGGATAATTTGGTACGTGGAGCCCGGAGGTCCGGACCACTTCCCTGGGACCGGTTTTTCGTCCCGTGTCGTTTTTTGACGCCCCCGAGGCCCGGCGAGGGCTCCCAGAGGCCGAAAACTGTCAAAAACCACTTGCTTTAATTTTTCTGGAGCGTCGGATCTCGGGGTCCCTTCCTTCCGCGACCGCCGCCCTGTCCTTCATCCGTCCCTGGCACTGCGCACTTCGCTGCATAGCCGCCCTGAGCCACTCGATCGACCTGCGCGCCCGCCGGGCTCCTCGACAAGAGAGAGAGCACGGGACCCTCCTGCCGCTCTTGTGACGCCGCCTGCGGGGGTCCACCCACAGGAGGCACCAGGTGGCAGGGCCCGAGCTCGACGGTGCTGTTGCGATTTCGTGGGCCGTTTTCGCTCTGATCTCGTTTTCCAGCAGAGGCGGAGCGAAGACAGAGCCAGGGACACCGGAAGCGCTACGATCACGGAGCGCACTGTTCAGGTCGAGCCCTGTCGCCGCCAGTGGACCCCACCACTTGCTGACCAGCGTCTGACTGTCTTGGACCACTTGAGCGATGCAAATAAACGGGGTCGTCTGCGCCGACATCGGCGCGTTAGCTGCCGGCGTAAGGTCGCGCGTAAGCGCCTTCGTCTCCAGTGCAGCATTCCGCACGGGCGGCCCGCGTAGCCGCCGCGTAAGGTCACTGTGCCATCTCGCGTACGACCCGTTTTTGACCCATTCGGCGCCCGCGGAACCCTGCGAGGTGGTGCGTCGCCGGGCGCGCGGAGCCTGTGGGAGGCAGGCAAGCCCTGCGGCGGCCGCGTGTGTGCCCGCGCGGGCACGGGGCGCGAGCTTCGGGGACCTGCTTTATATGATTAGTATTATGTTGATTACCATTGTTAGTAGTAGTAGTTCCGTATTATTATTATTATTATCAATATTATTATTAGTATAATTAGTCGTAGTAGTAGTCGTAGTAGTAGTAGTGGTAGTAGTAGTAGTAGTAGTAGTAGTAGTAGTAGTAGTAGTAGTGCTAGTCGTAGTAGTAGTAGTAGTAGTAGTAGTAGTAGTAGTAGTAGTAGTAATAGTAGTAGTAGTAGTAGTAGTAGTAGTAGTAGTAGTAGTAGTAGTAGTAGTAGTAGTGGTTGTAGTAGTAGTAGTCGTAGTATTACTGTTTATGGTGTTGTTGTTATTATTGTTATTATTTGTATTTTGTATTCTTATTACTGGTAGTAGTCTGAGGATTCTTAGTTTTTTGTTGGCATTTTTGAAGCATTTCCAACCATCCTGTGGCGTTTGGGCTTCGTTTTGAAGAGACGGTCCCCGCGTCCCTCCCTCCCTCCTTTCTCCTCCCTCCTCCCCCTCCCCTCTCCTCCCTCCTCCCTGCGTTTCACACTCTCGTCGCCCCATAGGGAGTTCCACCGAAGCCCCCAAGGGGACCGTCCGCATGCGTCCCACACACATTAAATTCGGCACACTCTTCGTACGTTTCGTGGCCCCATAGGGAACTCCACCGACGGCCCCATTGGGACCGTCCGCGTGCGTCCCGAAAGCCCATTCTAGCATTTTCATCGGCCCAGTACAGCGTTTTATGGCCCCATAGGGAGCTCAACCGAAGCCCCCATTGGGACCGTCCGCGTGCGTCCCGAAAACCAATTTTAGCATTTTCGCTCGCCCAGTAAAGCGTTTCGTGGCCCCATAGGGAGCTCCACCGAAGCCCCCAGTGGGACCGTCCGCATGCGTTCGACACACCCAATTTGGCATTTTCACGTGCCCAGTGCAGCGTTTCGTGGCCCCATACGGAGCTCCACCGAAAACCCAATTGGAACCGTCCGCGTGCGTCCCGAAAGCCAAATTTGGCGTTTTCGCTCTCCCAGTGCAGCGTTTCGTGGCCCCATACGGAGCTCCACCGAAGGCTTCAGTGCCACCGTCCGCATTCGCCCAGAAACTTCAATTTGGCAGTTCGAGTCACCCAGTATAGCGCTTAATGGCCCTATAGGGAGCTCCACCGAAGCCCCCAGTGGGACCGTCCGCATGCGTCCCGAAAACCAAATTTGATTTTTTCACCCACCCAGTACAACGTTTCGTGGCCCCAAAGGGAGCTCCACCGAAGCCCCCAGTGGGACCGTCCGCATGCGTCCCGCAAAAACCAATGTGGCATTTTCACCTACCCAGTACAGCGTTCCGTTGCGCCATAGGGAGCCCCACCGCAGCCCCCAGTGCGACCACCCGCGTGCGTCCCACACAGAAAATTTGGCGTCATCACCCACCCAGTACAGCGCTTCGTGGCCCCGTAGGGAGCGTCACCGAAACCCCCAATGGGACCGCCCGCGTGCGTCCCAGAAGCCCAACTTGGCATTTTCACCCACCCAGTACAGCGGTTCGTGGCCCCATAGGGAGCTCCACCGAAGGCCCCAGTGGGACCGCCCGCATGCGTTCGACACACCCAATTTGGCATTTTCACCCACCCAGTGCAGCGTTCCGTGGCCACATAGGGAGCTCCACCGAAGCCCCCAGTGCGACCGCCCGCACGCGTCCCACACACTTAATTCGGCATTTTCATCCACCCCGTTTCGGGGGCCCTTGGGAAGGTCCACCGAAGCCCCCAATGGGACCGTCTGCGTGCGTCCCACACACCCAATTTGGCATTTTCACCTGCCCAGTACAGCGCTTCGTGGCCCCATAGGGAGCTCCACCGAAACCGCCAGTACTACCGCCCGCATGCTTTCCCCCCCACCCCGTACAGCGCTTCGTGGCCCCATAAGGGAGCTTCACCGAAGAAGATGTTCACATTTGCGGTGCCCACAACTGCACATGGTTGGGTCCTTCGCCAGGATAACTTTTTATTGTGAAATAGAAAACCACGTAATATTCAACAGCATCTTTATGTCCTTCCGTTTTCCGATATTCGGGATTGTTTAAGCGACCCCTATCCTTGTCTCCATGCCCAGCCCTCCCAGACCTCCTCGCGCCGTGGAAAAATCACGACGGGAGGTTCTTCGGGAATTGCGGCCTCTGGAGGCATTTGCCAGGCCCCAGGAGCATCAAAAAACGCTTCAGGATGACAAACAGGTCCCCGGGAAAAGGTCTGGACCTCCGGGGGTCGACGTTGTCGGGGTCTGGGCTAGCCCTATCATCGTACTACCCCAGATACCCTTCGAGACCCGAAGGACACGGCCTATGTCCCCACCTAGGGGGGGAAATCAGCCGGTGGGGCCCTGGCCACGCCCACGGGGATAGGGGTCGGTGAAACAATGTTCAGAAACACTGCGCGAGCCGTGGGTGCGGGGCCATGCCATGCCGTACGGCGTCTCCGCGCCAGGCGGCAGCGCCAGCTCTCGGCAGCCTGTGCTGCGCAGCGTCGGGGAGGGAGGCAGGCGGAGGGAGAGGAGGGGGAGGAGGAGGAGGAGGAGGAGGAGGAGGAGGAGGAGGAGGAGGAGGAGGAGGAGGAGGAGGAGGAGGAGGAGGAGGAGGAGGAGGAGGAGGGGAGGTAGGAGGAGGAGAAGGAGGAGGAGCGAGGAGCGGAGGAGGGGAGGAGGAGGGGGAGGAGGAGGAGGAGGAGGGGAGGAGGAGGAGAAGGAGGAGGAGGAGGAGGAGGCGGAGGAGGAGGAGGAGGAGGAGGAGGAGGGGAACGGAACCAGAAGCGAGCAGACGGCGGCGGACGCGCGGGCGGGAGGCCAGGGCCAGCGGGACGAGGTGGGCGGGCGGACAGGCGGCTCTTCTCGCCGGAGGGACCTGTGGTGCGGGCACACCTGGCCCCCCCGATTGTCGAATGCGATGCGAAAGCAGTGGGAACCCATGCCGAGTAACACCCTGCTTGCCTCCAGGGTGCCCTGGTTTCTCGGGTCTCGACGGTTTTGCGATGGAGAGCGTGACGTTTCCCCACCAAGAACCAATGGACGTCCTGGGGTCTCAGGGTTGGGCTTCTTGTGGAAGGTGTCTTGTGGTCGAGCTCCTACTGTAGCAGCGGCTTCCGCGCTCGGGGTTGGCACCCCCGCGCCCCCTGCTACACCGCGCACCAAAGGTCACTCTTGCCTAGGGTTGTTCTTGCGTGTAGCCGGCAGTGAAACAGGGGAGACAGCTCCGTGCCCTGTCGCTTCCAGCCCCTTGGCTGGGTCATCCGGGTAGCATTCTTCGCGCTCAGGTTTGCGGTGTCCGATGGGCCAGGCCCTACCTGAAGGGATGCCACCTGGATGTCGGCCGGGTGGTACTGGGGGGTGATCCCTAAATTCGGGGTGAAGTCAGGGGCCTGAAAGGGCCACGTTCAGGCTCCTTTTCGGCTCCTGCTGGCTCCAAAAGGGGCCCTAAAGGGCCCCTTGAGGGCCCTTTTCTCTGGGCCGAGGTTCTGGCCGATCTTTGTTGGGCACGCTCGACCCCTCTGGCGTCGGGCGGCCGTTTCTGGCACTGCGCTTCGGCTTCGCCTCCCACGTTGCGCTCGACAGCGTCGGGGCGTGCGTGCTGTCGCCTGCTCGCTGTCACGCGCGAGCGAATCCTGGCGCTGCAGGATTCCCGAGGAAGGCGGAGCAGAAGGAACAAGAGCAGGAGGAGGAGGAGGAGGAGGAGGAGGAGGAGGAGGAGGAGGAGGAGGAGGAGGAGGAGGAGGAGGAGGAGGAGGAGCAGGAGGAGCAGGAGGAGCAGGAGGAGGCGGAGTTGAAGGAGGAGGAGGAGAAGAAGAAGGAAGAGCTGGAGAAGAGGGAGAAGGAAGAGGATTTTAGAACGTCGGGATTCAGCTTCACATCCCGTTCCTAGCTGAGCAGTACCGCGTCTCGCTAGCACTGCTCGCCTCTCTTGCGCGCGCTGGTCCTGGCGTCGTGGTTGACGAGAGCGGACCCGAGGAATAGCATCCAATATGGCTTACTCAATGATGGATGGCCACCGGTAAGTTCAAACGAGCAGGATGACTTGTCAATTTACCACAGTGGTTGCCCAGCATGGCATTCGAACAGTGCCTCGCAATATGCTCGACAGCGTGAAAAAAAGGCCGATTCGAAGGGAGGCCAGGAGTCCCGCCACGCCGCCAGATGGCACGTTGCATGTTGAGTTCGTCTGGCTCCAAACTAATCTCCGACATCTCGCCGAAAAGTGACAATGCCTGGCGCCACTGGCCGCACCTCGCACACACGCAGACCTAGCGAGGTAGCTGATGACGCCAGGCTCCAACCTTGTCTCCCACATTTTGCTCAGAAGCGCCACGTCCCGTTGCCACTGCTGGCCCCCCTCGCACGCGCTGATCCCAACTTTGAAGCTGATGGCATCATTATGCCGTATCCCAGCGTTGAAGCTCTCCGATATCTCCATTTCGCTCCTCCTTCCTCTCTTTCTCGTCCTCTTGCTCCTCCTCCTCTTCTTCTTCTTCTTCCTCCTCCTCCTCCTCCTATTCTCCCTCTTCTGCTGCTCCTGCTAGTCCTGCTGCTCACACTTCTGCAGTTGGGCATGGCCGGGGAAGAGTAAGTAGGATGGGGCAGTGTACTTCGGAGGCCGAGGAGGGGCAGGACAACGAGAAGGGGGGTGGAGGGAAACGCCATCGGAGCACGTCTTTCCACTGGGGCGGCAGACCGCAGGCACCAGCATGCCGATGGAGGCTGCCAGCGTCGGATGTTTCTATGGTTGCACAGCCCGGTCAGGGTGTCACTCGTCCTCGTCGTCGTCCTCCTCATCGTCTTCCCCTCGTCGTCTTCCTCCTCGTCGTCTTCCTCCTCGTTGTCTTCCTCCTCGTTGTCTTCCTCCTCGTCGTCTTCTGTCTCATCGTCCTCATCCGCATCCTCCTCGTCGTCTTTCTCCTCTTCCTCATGCTGCTCCGTCGGCCACAGGACGTTCTCTGGAAGAAGAATCGCATGCGCATCACCCAGCGGTGAGAGCGCCGAGAGCCGCTGCTGGGTGGGCATGCTCGTCTGGAGGGCGTGGGGGTGGGTGAGCAGGAACAGCGCTCCTTCCGCCCTCCCCCTTCTCCCCCTCCTTCTCCTCCTCCTCCTCCTCCTCCTCCTTCTCCCCCTCCTCTCCCTCCTCCCACTCCTCCTCCTCCCTCTGCCCCTCCCGCCCTCCCACCCTCCAGCCCCCTGTCCCCGCTTAGCCCCCCCCTGTGCCTGCTGCCACCCGCTTCTTGCTTCCCGCTCCCCTCCAGAGGACACGCAGAGCCAAGCCTCCCGCGCGCGGGGGAACGTCAACCTCCATCGCCCAGAGGGAACGGAGTTGAGCATCGTAGCGAAGTGGTGGTACCTCCGAGAAGCGATGCCAGTGGCGGCAACGAGGCCAGAACGCAACTTTACAGCAAGATCCTAGGCGATAGCGGCAACAGTGCTGTACCGACAGCATCCGCCAGAACCTAATACCTTGTGGCGCAGGCAGAGACCAGCGCAGTGGCTGCACAAGTCAGGGACGCCAGATCGGCAACACGTTTTGGAACGGTCCGCTCTCGGAGCTCAGGCGACAGATCCCCGAAGGAGTGACCATCATCATCAGGAACAGTGCCGACCAACCTGCAGGACACATCGAAAGCAGGCTCCCAACAGGCGGAGCGCGAAGGAGCTTGCGTCGAAGACGATGCATCTCCGATGCAGCAGCCCTGGTTGTTTCACCGTGACTCGCTAGAAGGGTGGCCACCGTATCAAACGCAGGGAGCAAAGCCGACCCGACTCGCAGAGTTCACGATCAGTTCAGCAGGCTGGCGAAGCTAGACAGACCGGTCTACCTTCAGGCGCTGGGATGACAAATGGACGACGAGGTGGACCACGATGACGTGATTTGTCTGTGTGTCAATGCTGGATCATAGCGCAGCGTCAAGGATTCGGTGCCAGATAGCATTCGAATGCAATTCGGGCAACGATTGGCATCCATGTTTACGTGGTTACTAACGGAGGAAACGACTACAGCAAGGATGACAAGGCTGGTTGCGACTGGGTCGACCATCGGCGCAGTCGAAACAGTAACGTGCTGCGCAGGCAGTGGCACGGCAAGCGCAACTTCCTGCGAAGATTGGCGCAGCGTGTGTGTACCTCACGACCATTGGCCGCCGAGCTCCAGCCTTGATCCTGCGCGACCACCAGATTACGGTAGTTTCGCGTCGTGTCGACCGGCGGCGACCCCGTCGCGAACGTTCATGCTTGAACGCCGCCAGTGGCCCAGAATCGGCCTACATGGAGCGATCGGGCGATCGAAAAGCCGCCGATCGTTCAAGGCTGAACGATCGACGCGGTGTCAGAAACCAACGCCAGGGTCGTCACGACGGGAGCTCGCCGCACAAACGCAGCGTCATGCATGCCATCTGGGCGCCGTGCAGCCATCAGACGGTTTAAGAGAAGCATCAGCCTCCATGGGCTCCAGATCTCGCCGAATCAAGAATCCGGACCGGACCCTGGGCAGCTCTTCTGGGGGGGCGTCGTTTCGTTTGTGGACGGTTTCTAGATCTGGGCCAGGACTAGCGTTCAAGAAAAACCTTCGGGTAAAGTCAGTTTTTCTGAGCCGGCAATGTTTTTCACTCTAAGCAGGGGTCTAACCATTCGAGTTTTCACACCATCGTTGGGCTGGATGTGACGAGGTGGCTCTGCAGCGTGTACCAAGCGGAACTGCGCCGAGGGAGCAAAGGACATAACGTTTGCCCGCGACGAAGCCAGAATGTGTTCCAATTATACATGGTATGCTGTGTTGTCTTATCGACTCCAGGAACAAGAACAGCGAGTTCTCGCATTCCATTCGCAGCATGCCCATTTCGACGCCTCTCTGCCGATACCGCATAACAAGGAGGCGAAAGGTGGATGGGCCAGCGGACACAAACTGCATCGAATTTCTTCATCATGAACCGTGTAATTGTGAGTTGTGTTCGTGTGGAGCGTATCTGCAATGACCGACGTACAGCCCACGCATCGAAGGACAACCCATATTTGTGGCTGCAACGAGGTTCAGCGGTTGGTGTCGCAGCAATGACGACACGTACATCATGAGCAGCCTAAGGGGGATGATCTCGTTTACGTCCTGGTAACTTTGCATGGCTGCATGCTTCATGAAGAAAGCCATCAAGTGTCCTAGTTCTGGATTGTGCATTCCTGAGCGATCGCGCATCGAGTATATTCTGGTGCTGCTCGGTACTCTATCATCGCAGGACGACGTCGTCCTGCAAGGCGGAGTTGAGTTGAACTTTTCCTCGCATCAGTTCTCCCTTCCCCGCCTCTGCCTGTTTCCTCTTCCCCTCTTCGTCCAGAGCAGGCTGGGACTAATATGCATGGTTTGCCGACGATCGTGTTCGAACGTAGGTGACGCCTTGTATTTGGTGTATTTGCGCACGGCATGGTGTTAGTGTTTTTTTGGGGGCGGGGGGGAGGTGTGAGGTGTATGAGGGAGTGGGCGATGGGAAGTGGAAGGAGAAGATGGAAGCGGATAGAGTGATGGGGAGGAGAGGTGAGGGGAGAGGAGAGGGGAGGGAGAGGTATATGGTGGGAGAGAGGAAGGGGATAAGAGGGGAGAGGCGAGCGGAAGAGGTAGGGAGCGAGGGTGCCTGGGGATGCGTGCAGCCAGGCAGACGGGAGAACAAGCCAAGTCACTCTTGAGAGGCTGCCCAGATGATCAGGATGCTGATGTTGCTGATGATACTGATGATTGTGATGATAATGTTGATTGTGATGGTGAAGGTGAAGGCGATGGTGGTGATGATATTGATGCTGATGCTAATGATGATGATAGTGGTGGTGGTGGTGATGATTTTGTTACGATGATGTTGATGATGCTGCTGCTGATGATGATCACGGTGATAAAGAGGATAATGCTGCTGCTGATGAAGATGGCGGTGGTGATGATGCTGCTGCTGACGATGACGATGACCATGACACGATGCTGCTGCTGATGATGATGATGGTGTTGACGATTCTGATAATGATGATGATGATGGTGGTGGTGGTGATGATGATGATAACAATGATGCTGATGATGCTGATGATGCTGCTGATGATGCAATTGCTTGTGATGATAATTGTGATGTTGTTGCTGCTGCTGATGATGATGGTTGCTGCTGCTAATGATGCTGCTGATGATGGTGATGATGACGATGACGAGGAGGATGAGGATGAGGATAAGGATGAGGATGAGGATGAGGACGAGGAGGAGGAGGATGAAGACGAGGATGAGGATGAGGATGCTGATGATGCTCATGGGGATGATGCTGAAGATGAAAGTTAAGATGATGATGCTGCTGCTGCTGATGATGATTTCGATGAGGAGGATGACGAGGAGGAGGAGGAGGACAAGGAGGAGGAGGAGCATGCTTACTCAGTTGCAGGAGGACGATAAGAAAGAGGCAGCTGAGGAGCAGGAGAGCAAGGGTGATGATAAGTATGCCGGATTCAGTGGGTGCGTTGGGATGGGCAAGAGGAGGTGGTTATGGAGGTGGAGGTGGAGGTGGAGGAGGAGGAGGAGCAGGAGGAGGAGGAGGAGGCGAAGGAGGAGGAGGAGGAGGAGGAGGAGGAGGAGGAGGAGGAGGAGGAGGAGGAGGAGGAGGAGGAGGAGGAGGAGGAGGAGGAGTAATAAAGAAGAACGAAGGAGGAGAAGAGAAGAGGAGAAGAAGAGGAGGAGGAGGAGGAAAGGAGGAGGAGGAGGAGGAGGAGGAGAGAGGAACGGCGGAGGAGGGAGGGGAGGAGGAGGAGGAGGAGGAGGAGGAGGAGGAGCAGGAGCAGCAGGGGCAGGAGGAGAAAGGTCGAGGGAACATGGGGGGGCTGCTGTGATCTGGGGGAGACCGCCGGCGCCCGTTTGTCACCGCGGTCGCGCAGCGAGGGCAGGACAAGAGCGTTCACTGTCCTCTCTCCTCCTGGCCCCGTCTTCCTTCCTCCGGCTCCTCCTCCTCTTCCCCCTCCCCCTCCCCCTCCTCCTCCTCCTCCTCCTCCTCTTCCGCCTCCTCTTCCATCTCCTCATTCTTCTTCTCTCTCCATCTCCGCCCACTCCTTCCCGTCCTCTTCACTCAATTTCCTCCTTCTCCTCATCCTTCCTTCTCCATCTCATTCTTCTTCTCTCTCCATCTCCTCCGCCCACTCCTTCCCCTCCTCTTCACTCAACTTCCTCCTTCTCCTCATCCTTCCTTCCGTTCCTCTTTACTTCTTCTGCTCCTCCTCCTCCTCCTCCTTTCCCTCTCCCTCCTCCTCCTCCTCCTCCGCCTCTTCATCACACATTCTTTTCCTTATGAATAATTCCGCCATGTCGGACCCCTGTGGCGTGTCTCCCTCGCTGCCCGTTATCAAAACGTCTGGCTTTCCCTCATAAGCATCTTCTCTTTGTCCAATGTCAACATGTGGCTCCCGCCTTAGCCCAGCGCGCCTTCCTCTCAGAATTTGCAAGAGCTTCGTGGATGGAGGGCGGACCGTTTTCAAAATGTGGCCCTCGCCCTGTCGCCGCGCCCATTCGTCTTGACAGATGCAGCAGCTTCACGGATGGAAACAGGACGGCTCCTTTTCAGAATTTGTGTGTTCGGCACGATGTCGGTGTGTCAGGGCGCAACAGTTAAACGTTCATTCGCGGTGTTGAAGTCTCAGGAACGGTGCTCCTGCAGGAGTCAGGATCGTCAACACGCAACAGATGCAGTGATTCGTGGTGTTCAAGGCCCAGGAATGGTGTCCTGGCACAGTTCAAGATTTTCAAACGGTTGTCTTCTAACGGGGCACGTCCTTCAGTGCAAATGAACCATTATAGTGGCCTGTGAAGAAGAAACTTGGAGGGAAGGTTTGTTGCAATATCGTTGATGAGTCCCTACTCCCCCTCGTCCTCCTCCTCCACCTCGTCGGCCACGCCTCCGCCGCGCCCCCTCGCTGAGCCCCCTCCCCGCCCCCGTACGCCTCGTCCCCGCCCTCCTCCCGCACCCCTTCCCTCGTCGGGGGCCCCCGAACGGTGTGGTGACCACACCTCGTGGTGAGTCAAGCGGGGATTCGGGGTCACCGCACGGTTTTGGGACCCGGGTCGTTGACCGAGGACGTCTCGGGCGACCGGGGCCTCCGTGGCCCCCAGCGGTGCCCTGGCGGACCGCGCGGTGAGGTCTCCTGGGGTTTCCGGGGTCGCCACGCGGTCCGTCGCCACACTGTTTTTGCGGGGGCGGCGGAGGAGGGGGATCAGCGAGGGGGCGCGGCGGAGGCGAGGCCGAGGAGGAGGAGGCTGAGGAGGAGGCTGAGGAGGAGGACCAGTGTAAACCCAAGACTCATCAACGATGTTGGAATATGCCCTCCGTCCAAGCTCTCTCATCGTAGGCTCTATACAAGGTCCATTTCCCTTGAGGAAAGCGCCCCGTTGGGAGACAACCGTTTGAGGTTACTGAAGCGCGCCAAGCGCCTTTCTCGGAATTCCAACGCACGAATCAACCTGACTTTTGCGTCTTGACGATCCTGAATCGTGCCAGAACGCCGTTCCTGGGACTTCATTACAGCAAGTCAACACAACTGTTGCGCTCTGGCAATCTTGCGTCGTTCTAAAGCACAATTTTCTGTACGTTACCTGCGGGAGTTCGTGAAGCTCGTGCAAATGTTTAAGACGAATTCGTGCGGCGCTGAAGCGACAGCCACTTGTTCAACAGGAACCGCCCTCAATCCGTGAAGCCCTTGTAAACTTTCAAGATTCGCGAAACTCATGCAACTGTCTAAGACGAGTGTGCGCGGCGCCAAGGCGGCAGCCACATTTTGGGAGCGACCCGCCCTCCATGTGTGAAGCTGTTGCTAACTTCTAAGCTTCAGGATCGTAAATGGTAAGGAAGTCTCAGGCGAAATGCCCAGGCAGCCCTTCCGACTGGTCTCGGGGTGCGACAGGGAGGAGTTACTTATAAGGAGAAGGAGCGGAGGAGGATGAGTTTGGGAACCCCTTCCCCCTCCGCCCCCATCCCTCCTTGCCTCATGCCTGTCTGCTTCTCTGCCGCCTGTGTCGGTATGGACTCGGGGCTCGCGCTGCTGCATCACACGCGGCCTTCGCTCGGCTGGCCCCCGAGCCGGGACGGAGGGGAGGGAGGATGGCAGGGAATGGGGAGCAACCCGACAAGACCAGGTCGCTAACGTCCTTGTGTAACGCCTCCATGAGAATGAGTGATGTGGACCTCTCGGGGCTTTCTTGGGGGGGCTCTTGGGGCTCTCTAGGGTCCTCCCACCAGCCTCTTGGGCCGTCTTTCGACGTCTAACGCCGGAGGGAGGGGGGGGCCGAAGGGCGGGTGGGATGGGGATGGGGGGGGTCCCTAAGGGCTTGAGGACTTTTCACTTGTCACTTTTCGGCGATCCACTGGTGGGAATCAATCTGGATGAATTGAGGCAAATGCAGATGAGTCTGGGGAAGTCAGGATCGATCTGGGCAGCTCTGAACATTCCCAGAACTTTTGAGAAAGTCGTGGCCGTGGCCGCCCCAGCGCGCGCCGAGGGACGGCCGAAGTCGTCGAGCCCTCGGCGAGGGGATGGGACGGATGGCGGGGGAGGGAGGGCGGAGAAGACCCCCGGGAGGCCGCGCGAGAGGGCCCAAGCAAGGCCCCGTCCTGGCGACCCCACGCTCCTCCGTCAGCGTTTTCGCACGGGGCTCGCCCCTCTCGGCCTCCGACGAGCGACGCGCGGCCTCGGGGGGCCCTGGAGGCGAGGCCCCAGGCAGCCTCTCCGGGAGCACTCGAGTCGGGGCAGCCAGAAGCCTCTCTGGGAGCACCGTTCGAGTCGAGAGGAGAAGGAGGAGAATGGGCGACGCGAAGGAGAGGAAGGAGACGGAAGGCAAGATGTAGAGGTGCAGGGCAGATGTTCGAAGCTTCCTCCAACCGGTCGCCAAGAGGCAGAGCCACGACTGGGCCAACACGGACCTCGAATATCACCCCGTCCCCTAGGCTCAGAATCGATGTTCCCGCAGGCCTCTCCGGCAGCATTCGAATCGACGTGCCCAGAAATTTCTCTGCGAACCTCGCTCGACCTGCGAAGAGGAGGAGGGGGAGGAGGAGGAGGAGGGGGATGCAGGGCGATGAGGACGACGTAACGGACGACGAAGGCAGACGGTGCAGAGAAGCAGCTTCATTACAATCGGCCCCGCAAATTGCCCAACATGGCCACATGGCCCTCCGATCCGAGCAGGCTTGTATCACAAATAGTTGAGTTTCTTGGATGCCTCTCCCGGACATTCGAATCGACTTTCCAAGCTTCTCTGGGATCGCCGCTCCAGACGATTTGAGGAGGAGGAGGACGAGGAGAAGAAGGAGGACACGGATAAAAAGGCTGACGAGGAGGTCGGGGCAGAGGACTCCAAGACAGGATATTCAAGAGAAGGATGGGCAGTCGAATCGCCTTCAGCAGGCCCTCTCGTGCCCCCAACAACATCCCCCCCAGGATGCCACAATAGACCCTCGAAGGGGCCATCGAGAGCCCCTCGAAGAAACCCTCGAAGAGACCCTCGAAGAGACCTTCGAGACGCCCACAAGAGACCCTCGAAAAGACTCGAAGAGACCATTGAAATGCCCACGAGAGGCCCTCGAGACCTCCAAGGAGGCCACACCAGACGCCTCCAAGAGGCCATGCAAGACATCCACGTTGGGCGCCCAATGGGGTCCTCCATTCATATCCTGAGGCCCATCGCGGCCACAGAGAGCCCAGGAGGATCATAACGTGTAGTCGATCCTCTTTTTTCTCCTCCTCCTCCTCCCCCTCCTCCTCCTCCTCCCTCTCCCCCTGCTTCTCCCCCTCCTCCCTCCTCCTCCTCCTCCTCCTCCTCCTCCTCCCCCTCCCTCCTCCCTCCTCCTTCCTTCTCTTCCCTCCTCCTTCTCCTCCTCCTCCATCTGAGGGGACCGTGACGCACGGTATTCTGGAATGCTTGGGATCGAGGCCCCCCGCAAGCCTTTCCAGCAACATGCGAACCGACGAGCCCGAAAGCCTCTCGGGGAGCACCGTTCGGCAGGAGGCTCCTGAGGTCTCCCGTCGGATGTTTCCTCACTCCTGGGCGAGTGCAAGGTGATGCAGAGGAGGATGAGGTGCAGGATGAGTAGCAGAAGAAGGAGGAGCAGGCTCATCGCCACCTTCTGGCCGCTCTTCACACCACCAGGCACTCCTGGCCGATAGGCGCGCATATGTAAATGTGCTGTAGTTTATATAAACATACATGGAGTGCGGCAGGCGTATATGCAGACACCCATACATCCATGCATGCATACATACATACATTCATACACATACACACGTACAGGCATCCATCCATCCATCAATCCACACATACATACATATAGACATAATGACGTACACACATACATGCATACAAACATACATGCATGCACATCCATACATACTTACATACATACCTACATACACTCATACGCACATGCATACGTGCATACGCGCAATCACACATCTTTACACACAGATACATACATCCAGACAGACAGGCAGACATACATACAGACAGACATGCACACATACCTGCGCACCGACATGTATACACGCATGAATACACACATGCATCCACACATACGTGCACAAGCGCACACGCATGCATACATACCTACACACATACATGCACACACATACACGCACGCCTACATACATACACACATACTTGTATGCACATATGCATTCATACATGCACACATGCATACCTACATCCATACATACACACATACATTCTCACACACGCATACATACATGCATACGTACATACGTGCGTGCATACATACATACACGCGCACAGCCATAAATACATACAAACATACGTACGTACACATGTACGTACATACGTACATACTAACTCACGTACTTATATCTGTACATTCATGTGCACAGGTATACACACATGCATGCATA